GTAACACCAATGGAAACTGTTAAAGTAAAATTTATTAATGACCAAAATAGTACGAATCCAAAATTTCGTGGTTTTTTTCATGGTGTACGAGAAATTGTTCGTCATGAAGGTATTCGTGGTACATATCAAGGTTTAACGGCAACAATTATGAAACAAGGATCAAATCAAGCAATCCGGTTTTTTGTTATGGAAACATTAAAAGATTGGTATCGTGGTGGTGATCCAAATAAAAAAGTAAATAAACTTGTTACCGGTTTATTTGGTGCATTTGCTGGTGCTGCATCCGTATTTGGTAATACACCAATCGATGTTGTTAAAACACGAATGCAAGGACTTGAAGCAAAAAAATATAAAGGAACTGTTGATTGTTTTATAAAAATTGCTAAAAATGAAGGTTTTTTTGCATTCTATAAAGGAACAGTACCACGTTTAGGACGTGTTTGTTTAGATGTTGCAATTACATTTATGATTTATGATAGTTTTATGGAATTGTTTAATACAATTTGGAAGACACCTTAAAAAATATTTCTTTCATCCATCACATTCATCAAAATCGATGACAATTACAATCATTTTTTTTATATAGAAAATATATTTATACAATTTTACTTTTAACAACAACAAAAACAACAAAAGAAACATTGTCTTCTTCAACATTGGATTTTTTCTGTGTTTTTTAACCAAAATTTTGGTTTTGTTTTGTTTTTTGTTTTTTTAAATATATCAGCGTGAGTGAGAGAATCACCAATCAGAAATTATTGTTTTTCAAGTTTTTTGTTTTTTTTTGTACTTTTTTTTTAAAAATGATTTAAATAAAGAACAGAAACAAAAGTACATTGTTGTGATGACAAAAATCTTGATGAAATCTATGAATTCTTTATGTTGATGATGATGATGATGATAATGAACGAATGAATTCGGTTTGTTTTTTCGTATTTTGCCAAGCAGATTTTTTTTGGCACCCAAAGAAAACAATCATTAAAAGTATATAAAGAGGTTATTGGTGGTGTGAATGAATTATCATTATCATCATTTTTCTCTCTTTCTCTCACTGATATAACCATGGTGATAGATCTATAGATGTTTCTATTAATCAGACGATATTTATTGATCAAATTATCTAGCTATCAAGCCTAGCTAAGCAGTATTTTAACAAAGCATCATTTCATCAATGTATTTCATCAACAAACAAAGAAAAACATTTTTTGAATAAATGACGTAGATAATGTACGAAAAATTTTTCTTTCTTTGATTCATCAAAGTGATGTATAGATATTTTTATAAATAAGATGACTTATATTCAGGAAAAAACCATTTTAAAGAGAGGGAACGAGAGAAGGAAAAAGAAAACGAGGAGAAATGTGAAAACTGAATAACTGAATAATTCATAACGTTCGAAATGTTTTTTCGGGAATCCACACTGTTGTTTGGCATGAATTCTGTTCATCGTCATATCATCATCATCAGGAAAAATGAATTTAAGCTTACTCATTTCATCAAGGCATTGTTCCCTTTTTAATAAAAGATTCTTCAAATGAAAAACTTTTTGCTTGCTTGTTTGGTTTTGGTTAATTTAATTAATTCTGTGTCATTTGTAATCAACCAACAACGGATAATGTTTTATTGATTTTTTTGTTTGCAAATAAAATCATATGATTGATTTTGTATTTTGGATGTTTGTGCGTGTGTTTAGTTTTGTATTACCCAGA